CACAACAAATACTAAGCCACCAATAAGTGAGTTTAGCAGGGTTGCAAGATACAAAGTCTACCTCTAAAGAATCAACTGTTACGGATAAATTTGACAAAATTTGATGCACATGCAAAACTTGCAAGACAAATCAGAGAATATATCCCATCTGATTCAAATGTATGATATGTCGAGATCACTGTACTGTCATGTGTAACTAAGTAAAATAAATTAAAAAAAGAAAATATGGAATATACTACATTCAAAGATGAAGAGAATATATCATTAAGGCGTCAATTCTCCCCCAAATTAATCTACAGTTTCATTTTTAAAAATCTTGCCAGGCTTTTTAAAAAATGAAAAATTTGATAATCTGATTCTAAAAATATAGGGAAATCAAGATCAAATGACACTGAAAAAGAAGAGTAAGGTTAGAAGACTATACTACTTGACTTCATGTCCAAGTATAAAGATACCATAATCAATGCAGATTGATATTGGTGAAAAGATAAACCTATGAACCAAGGGAACAGAATTCAAGGTCCTGATACAGACTGACACGTATAAGACAACAATACTAAGCCAATTCAATGAGAAAAGAAAGATGATTTCAACATATGGGGCAAACAAAACAAACCATCAAAAAACCTGAGCCCTCATCTAATAGCACACACAGAAACTCACATGCATCACCGACCTCAATACAAAGGTAAAGCAATAAACATCTTGGGGAGGGAAAAAGGGAACAATTTCTACCAATCCTGATTGGCAAATATTTTAAAAATATGACAGGAAAAGTATATTTATTTTTTAATGAATAGAAATGTGTTTAATATTTAAAGATACTGCAGATTCAATATGTAAAGAGACAATAGGTTGAAGATTGAAATAAATAAAAACAAATATGGGAATTATTTAAATAGTAATACAGCAGATGTTTATTACTTAGAAAATAGTTATAGTATGTTAGAATTTTTTAATGTTATTTCTTTTTTCCATATTTTTTATTGGTGCATTATACATAGTGGTGGTATTTGTTCTTACATAGTCATACTAAAAGCATATTTAAGAGGAAAAACTGATAAATTTTGTGCTCTTCAAAAAACATTGTCAAGAAAATGAAAAGATGAGTGACAGCTGAGAAGACAATATTTGCAAAACATGTATCTGAACTATATAAAGATCTCTTAAAATTCAACAAGAAGCAGAAAGAGGTGAAAAAAATTAACAAGCAAAAAAAAAATCTGAACAAATTCTCCATGGAAGATACAGATGGCAAATAAGCACATGAATATATATGCAATATGATTCTTCATTAAAGTAGTGCCAATAAATCACAATAAGATACAATCACTCCTGACTAGGATGTGAAAAACACCATACTATGAACTAGCAAGAAGAAAATCCCTCATGCCCAATGATGAAAATGTAAAAGAGTACAGCTGTCTCCCAACCTATATATCCACACACAGTTTCATAGAATGTTCAAATAGTTTTATTTTCATGTTCAATGGTAAAAAGGCACCTGAAGTCCAAAAGTAGGTGGATATATTTACAAAACTGGCATATCCCATAAAATGGAATACTATTAAGCAACAAAAAGACAAACTATTGGTAAGACACCTCAACATGGGTGAATCTCAAGAGTAATTATGCCAAATAGAAAAACATCAGACAATGTTTTCTATTTGGCATACTGAACAATTCCATTAATACGAGCTTCTAAAAAAAAGGAAAACAGTGCAGTGACGAAAGCAATCCAATGGTTGCCTGGAGACAGGGAAGGGGAGGAGAGGGGATGGGTTCCTAGGAACACAGGCACTCTTCATGGAGAAATTCACTATGTTGAGTGCGGTGATGGTTTTGTGTGATCTTACATATGTCAGAACTCAGTGATTTTTATATTTGCAACATAGGCAATTTACTGAGCATCAGCTGCACCTCAATAAAGGTGTAAAACAAAATATTAGCATGGCAAATTCTTCATAAATATTTTCTATTGTTGTTATTAATATATGAAACCTTTAAAAAAGACAAAAATGAAGAAGAATCTGAACTATCTGAAGGGAACACGTTATTGATGAAGTTATCTCCAGCTCAGAAATGACAGGAGAACCCATCAAGGCTTCAAGCTCCCTGTGCTGTCTGGGATCTCTTTACTCCCCTCCAAGGCACAGAGAATCCACTCAGCCATAAAAATGTAAAAAATAAATAAGACAAAACACCAAAAAATGAACACCAAGAACCACACAATTGGAATGTTACAACATCAAGAGAAAGAAACCCCAGGTGCCCGATGCAGGCTGGAGGAGTGGGAGAAAGCCCCACCATTTCCACAGCACTGCGGTTTCCAGCGCGCCGGGAGTCACGTTAATCTTGTCCCACACTCATTCCAGATGAGCAGTCTCCTGATCAATCCTGAGTCACCAGAGGCACCTTTATTACTGTGTACAACAATTTAACCATTTATTTACAATTCAGATTTACCAAGTGCTTGCTAAGTGTCAGGTATCACTTAGTCCCACCAACCGCCTATGAGTAACTGAAGCTGAGACAGCATCTGCCCAGTGTCATACAACTAGTGCAGAGCCTGACGTCCATGTTCCTCAGCACAGAACCGCACCTTGCTGTGTTCGGGAATCAGACACGGTTTCTCACCTCCATAGCACTAAGTTATCACCAGCCTTCCTTCCCTGAGCTGCCTCCTGATTACACTATGTGAACTAAATTAAGCTACAAATGATACACTTTCAGCCAGAAGACTCTTTATAAATTATTATACTTTCTTTAAAAAGTAATTCTATTAGCTTAGAAACCACTAAAATGGAATCCTTAAAATAGATCACTCTTCTGCTTTTACTCAGTTTTATGATTAATTTAGGACCTCTAATAGAAAGTGGTTTTACATATTGAAACATTCTTTATAGGAGAAAGAAGCCTATTTGATAATTTAGTACCCAACATTTCTTTTTAAGGTGAGTTCCTTTTCTGCACAGAAGACACTAAGAATTAATTTTACTTCTTCTGAAATGGATGAGCAGTCAAATATATATCTCCTATAATTCACCTCAAATTTAGCCTTGATATTGGGAAAAAAGAACACAAAATTTCTGATAACCCATAAGACATATTTATTTTACTATCGAATGACTCCTTTAGTCAGCTCACATGACACACAGATACATACACAGTTACAGAGGCCGACTGCCTTCTTAGTTCCCCTGGAGTCACCACTTGACACCTGTTCTGCAGCAGGCACTGCCACCTGTAGTGCAGATTCAGCAAGGAAACCAACACACTGAACTCTCTACCCTCACGGCACCTACATTCCAGAGGAGTGAACAGAGAAACGTGGAGAACACATACACCATATCCAGTGATGTGAAATCTAATGAGATAAAGTACAGTAGAGGGTTACAAGGCACGGACTGGAGGACTGGGGCAGGGGGTTGAGAGATGGGGGCACTGGTCTTTAAAACAGCCTGTCTTCAAAGATCTTCAGATCAGATCACAGAGGAGAATATGTAAATTTAAGTTGGAAGTTACAGAAAACTGATTCACCCCTTTGCCTAATAAGAAAGAATGAATGTAACAGATGAGGAAATTTGAGGGTTAAAAAAAATCCCTTTAAGGGAGAAAAAGTCAGACAAGTACTCCTCATATCCAGAAAATGCTACAACAAACCTGAAGGGAATTAAGCAGTATCCAATTTCTTTTTATCATCTCATGAGCTCATCAATAATAACATTATTCCCACTTCCACCTCAAGTTGAGACACAGTTCTTAAAACAAGAACATGCCTGAAAGCAAAAATCACGACTAAATCCCACATTTGATCAAGAAATACGTATCACGTTACAATCTCAAAATAAATCATTATACAATTCTTTAAGGCCTAAATACCAGATAAAGATGAGAAATAAATTGTTGTTTCTAAAAAATCTGATGTATGCACACAAACTCCTACATCTTTAAACAAATTTTCTCATACTGCTCTGACAGAATTTAAACATTTTTCTATTAATATACACACAAATAAATATTAAAATACACTAATTTTAAACCAATTTGCCCTCTTCTATGGAAGAAAGAATGTGGATACTTTTATTGTTCTATTATAGTCACATAATAAACTGTCAAAGGCTCAGGGCTCTTTCAATGTTTCAGTATTACACAGGAATCAAACAGAGGCCCTTAAGTCATTAAGTGCCCCCTACGAGGAACTCCCTTTACACGATGCCTGACATAATCAGTTCCACTGTTTGCCGAGGTTTTAAAAACTTAAGTCCCTCCTTATTTCAAATCCATGATCCTGTCTCCCTCAATTCCCACCTGTTTTAGTTCTTAGAAAAGATCAAAACAAGCTTATTCTCTCTACCACCAGCCTCTGATAGGCAGCTAGGAAGACCCTCCCTCAAGGTTTCTTCTCTCCCGCTAAAATATACCATTCTTTCACATATTTCCCATGTAATAATAGTATCTGTGTTTTAAAGGTGTACCACTTCATTCAAACCTTATCCTAAATCTATAAGCAGAATGATATAACTTCATTTCCTCACTTACAAAATTCTCTTATAAGAATGTTTAAGCTTAATAATTAGTCTCTCTAGACAAATGAATGTCTTCTCTGTCTTTTGCTTGTGGAAATGCATTTTGAACCTAAATGAATGAGGTTCACAAAAATCATGCCAATGAGTCATTTCTGGCCATTATTGATTTTCACTTTTTTTAAGGAGCAGACATGATATACACAGACAATGATAAGTGATTTAAAAAAAAAAAAAGGTAACTGAAAACATTTTAGCATCATTATATTTTCAAGCAGTAGTCAACAGACCATCTAGGGATGCTTTATAGAATGCAGATTTCTAGACCTATCTGTACAGAATCAAAATCTCTGTGATTCTGATCTGTAGTCTAGGAGCAATTTACATAACCTTGGTTGACCAGAGGCCTAAGAACAATGGCCTAATATTTTAAATTGTGTTTTTGCTCCCTAATAGACACTTTAAGTATCTTACCTGTAATCCAGGAATAAATCGAGTATCCTTTTCAACCACCAAGAGATCAGCAACGTTGGCATTGAGAATGGACCTTGTGATTCCCCCTGGCCCGGGACCCACTTCATAAACATAAGCATTTGTCAGATTGCCAGCTTTCCTTACAATTTTATCTAGAGGGAAAAAAAAGTTTAATTATCTTGATCATCTTGGCAAATTTCAATGTTTAAACTTTAAACTGTACTAATTCTTTAACAAAAACAGGATTATCATAGCACATTTCCTTAAATTCAGCAAAATGACATTCACAATCAGAATCTTCCATGCTGCTAGTTGAAGGCGCAAAAGCAAAAAGTGCAGTCAGTCTCCATTTTTACCCACAGACACCTATTTGGTAGTCAGAATGGCAATGGTAACACGTTCCTGGGTGATATGACTCTCAGAAATTTTAATTTTTGGATACTTTCAGATAAAGGTTAAATTCAGCATTCGAGGTTTTCTAAGCTTTGCAAATATTCATGCAAACATGAAAATAATAATTCTTAGAGTAGTCAATTTAAATCAGCAGACCTTAAGAAATCAGAAGGGTAGAATACTAATGTTTCATTGCAACTTATCATTACTTCTGGAAAAACATACAATGTGTTGGTCTTATCGACTGATATTAAAATCTGATCAACAGGGCCTTCTAGGATAGGAAATTTAGCTACTAAAAACACACCAGCACTTTTCCTCTGACATAAAGTTCCAACTTTGCTTATTTTTGGTAAGCTTATGTAAGCTGAAAGGCAAAAATTCTCTTTCAAAGATAGTCTTTTAATGGATGCAGGAGGGAATTAGCATCCACTGACCATTTATGTTATAGGTGATTTTCATAATCCTCTCACCAAATTCCTCCTATACATAACTAACAGCTATTCTTCCAATTTAATTTCTCTGAACTTTACAATTTCCTTGTCTATTGTTTTATTTGTACACAGTCACCTAAAAAAGCAATGGCAGAGAAAAAAACTCCAATTCAGGTGTAAATTATAAAGCCAGTATTTGCTCCCTTACAGCTACCAAATGCCTTAGAGGGAACAAGAATGATTAATTAAGCATAGGCTTTATGTAGTGAATTTAAGATTCTCATTTTAAAAAAATGTAAAGCTATGACAGTAGGCAGGACAGTGTTTTCACCCTCAAACTTCTCAGGCATTCAAATACAAATGAATATCAAAGATGTAATGTCAAATCATTGAGTGAGTGTCCATCTTGGTCTGCTCCTACATGTACTTTAATCTCCCTGTGTGCTTTGGTTCTTACAGGAAGAGTGAATTATTATCTTCTACAATCTGGAACTTATTCCTGAGGCTCAGGAAAGACTCACAGGAGGGCTGGGGATGTAGCTCAAGTGGTAGCGGGCTCGCCTAGCATGCATGAGGCACTGGGTTTGATTCTCAGCATTCCGTAAAAATAAAATAAAGATACTGTGTCCACCTAAAGCTAAAAAACAAATATTTTAAAAAAACAAAAAAGATTCACAGGAGAAAATGTAAATGAAGCTTCCTTTGCTGTTAAAATAAAAAGACCTGTTATCTTCAGCCCTAAGAATGGTTTTTATATTTAGCATGTGGCCTATAACTAGTTTAAAGGCTGGTACTAGTTAACCCAAAGAATGTTGGAAAATGGGCAATCTTTTAAAGCTCTTGTAGTAGGCCCCTCTTCTAAATAAATGATGATTTGAGTGGAATTAGACTGTTTTATCCAAAATGATACTGCTACAGACAAAATGAAAAATTCAGGTCCAAGAAATTAAAACAACTTATTTATGCTTTATAAACTGTGCATCATTTAATAGAAACGTTATGGGTGATTCACCGATTTTTTTAACTTCTACAGGGAGGCCAAATAGTAAACTGAAATATCAAATCTCAAAACATGAGTACTGCAGCAGTGAATCAGTGCACATATTTATAATAGAGCTTACAGCGATCTCATACAAAAAAAAAAGGGGGTGGTAAACAAACATAAAAACGTATCAACTCATGCACCTCCAACTGGTGAATTTCACTGTTTATAAATCTTACCTCAAAAAGTCACTTAAAAAAAAATAAGGCGTGGGAATGTAAACTACCTGCTCACTCTCACAGCTTGTGCAATATGTATTTACTGGTCATTTGCACCCTCGAGGATTTCTTAGACCCAACAAATGTTTAAATAACAAATCCTGCAAAGATTTCAAAACGAGTTATGGCTAAAAGCTGCACACGACTTTAAGCGCTAGTAGGTTCAAACTGCACGACAGGCAAATCTGATGGGCACGTGCAGGCCCGCGGCGGAGCGCAGTGAGCGAGACTCCACCGCCCCGAGCCCGTGGGGAGCTCAGCGCCCGCACCGCCAGCCTCCGCGCACCGACACCCCAGCACGCCGGGCTCCGTGCAGACGTCGCACTTCACGTGTCTGGGCCGGCGGGACTCGGGACTTCTGTCGTGCAAAGCGAAGTGAGGACCTGACCCAATGCAGGTCGCCCACCTACACAGACAGGGCTGTCCCTTAAGACCCGCCGGCGAGGTCCCAGCGAAACCCCTCGCTGCAACCCCTGGGGCACCGGGGATACCACGGGGGCGCACTGGCTAATGCATCCACCTGTCAGCCTCAAATCCAGAAGAAAATTCTGGGATAGCTGCTTCGCTGCTTGCAGTCGGAATAACTTAATGAGTTCCCGAATGGTGGGCAGCGGCGGGAGACGGAAGCTGCCGAGGTTCCCGGAGGCAGCCATTAGCCCCACAACACACCACCCGGCCTTTCCCGGATCCCCCCCGCCAACCTCCGAAACGCGCGGCGGGGGAGGAGCCTGAGGCAGTAGGTTCCGCCTCCTGGCTCTCCTTATTGGTTGGCTGTCCTCCCCGGAAGTGGCGACAGGACAGGAAATCCGGGTGTGCTGATTGAGCACGCGCTGTGTCCCGCGGAGAGCGATGCAGGATGGGTGCGCGGTGGTTTCCGCCCTGGAGCGCGAGGAGGGTCCGTGGGGCTGGATTCTCGCGAGTGGGCGGGGTCTGGGAGAGTCGGGGAGCTCGGCAGCCCGGTCGCCGTGGGGCGGCGCAGGCCTTGGCGTTCCAGGTGCGGGTCTGTGACAGGTAGAAGGCGGGTGACTGGCGGTAAAACTCCGTGTTGGCTGGGTGTTTAAGAACTCAGCTCGCAGGTGCTGCACGGCACGTACGTAACTGCTGTCAGCCTCAGTCCTTAATCTGTTCAATGGCCCAAGTTGTAAGCGCCGCTTGAGAGGCCCCCAAGTGTGCGAAGTTAGAACGTGGTGGAATGCGGGGCACCGGGCGGACGCTCAGTGGTGGTGGGCATTACAAGTTAGGTGGCAGGTGGATGCGATTCATTGCAGCACATTGGTTGAGAGGGCCAGCACTAGAAGGCAGTTCCTCGGGCCCTTCACACTGTATCCAACGGAGGAGAAACCCACCTTCTTCGTGTTAAATTAACCTGAGTTTCGCCCGAGTTACCTCCACTCTAGAGTCCCTCGTGGGGTACTGTGGCCTGGTGTGGTACCTAACCTGAAAACCTAATCTGGGAGTATCCTTTTTTAACAGCGGAGTCTCAGCTGATCACAACAGCAGGGCTCTAGTAAACTGCTGGCGGACAAATGGTTCAAATAAGGCAAAAACATCTATGTAATCAGGCATCTGTGTACTTCATTATTGTTTTCTGTCCATAAATCCTGCCAAACGACGTTGCTGGCTGGAGTTCTTTGAACCTGTTGTGGTTCTGGAGGCTGCCTAATTTTAGAATCGTGAATAAAAGTCAGGATCTTTCATCTGAGTTTGTTGTAATGTTGTCTTGTCGTATTTTAGACTTTGGAAAGTGTTTTCAGATACAGTGACTTTAAAAAAAAACTTATTACAGCCTTGTGGAATAGGACAAGTAATACTAACCTCAGTGTACTGAGTTTTTAAAAAGTTATTGGAAAACCAAATAACAGTGGTTATGATGTTGAAGTGAGAATTCCCTTGGAATTGCAGTGGAGACCCCAACCATTCTCTTACAGCTATCTTAGAACTCTGAGGTAATCTGATTCAGCTTCTAGCTTTAGAAAATAGAGATGTGACCCCCATAGTGGTAAGGAGATTTGCCTGATGCGGCATCAAAAACGTAGGTTGAAGGTTTGAACTCTCGACCCAGAGGTCTTATCTACCATAACACACTAGACCTGGAAAAACATTCGCTCATTTTATCTTCGCCATTTTGTTTTCCTATCACAGTTTTTATGAGAATGAGATTTACTGTGAAGAAATGAAGGTGAGCTGCTCAGGGTCACATAGCAAAGTACATGAAGAAGGCAACCTGAGTGTTTCCTCATCTGAGTTCCTGTCTTATTTGCCATATCTCTCAACTACTGTATCAGCTTAAATTATTTTTTAAATGAATTAATTTAGGTTAGTTTTATAGCACTATTTAAATACATAGAAATAAGAATCTAGGTATGAATTTAAACTTACAAGTTTCATATGACTATTTAAAACACAATTACAATAAATCTATACAAACTTACAAAGCCAAAACCAATTCTCTTGTTAATTTACAATGATGATTGATGTTAAATCACTACTCTTAATGCTGGCTGGCTGGCAGGATTCCTTTTTCTTTCAAATTCAACTTATCAATGCTATAGTGTTCCACATTTTGATTGAATATTCTCATCAGTTTTCTGGATTCAAAATACTAACAAATCTTTGTTCAAATTTTTTGTCATTATCATTTGGGAGAAGATGGATTTTACATATTAAGTCTGCCTATGTCTGTTTTCATTAACTTGAAAACAATTGAAATTGAATTATTTGGTATCAATTCTGCTATGAGTACATCTACTGCCTCAAGTCATAAGGAGGATATTCAGATGACCCAAAATATAAACACATAAACTTCTTACAAGATTAACAGCAACCTTTAAAATTTATTTAAAAAATAAATTCAAAAGTGGAAAAAAACAGTGTCATGGAGAATTTGTAGATTCCTGAGAATTTGTCCCCAGATCTAAATAGGGATTTGTCTTAAACCATGCCATCTGCAATAATCTTTATTTGTGAGGTTATGGCCCATCACCCAGCAACGTCCCTTGCTACTTCTCTTAATTCTCTTTTCAATTCTGTGTTGTTGTTCACAAAGATGTTCAGTGACTCACTGTCACCTGGATAGTAAATGAAGAAGCTGAGTGTAGAAGACAAATCTTTTGATTCTACTGCTTTCTGAAAAACATTGTATGTGTTAAATAATTATTGAACCAAATAAAAATTCCATCTTAGAAGAATCTTACAAGCTTTTAATAATTCTTGAGATTCAATTTTTATCATCATAAATATCTGATCCTCAGTCTTTTAATTTCAGAAAATTATGCATAACTCCTTGCAAAATCCTATGAAATCAGCAGGGGGTGTTTTAGTAGTATATTTCACATATTAATGCAAACAGCTTTCTCCCTTAAAAGAGAAGCATGCAGTTTCATCAGTTTTGAAGCTTTGAAGCGTCTGCTCCATCTAGATATAGATTTTAATATGCTAAAATATTATAATTAAAGCAGAAATTACTAGCCCCACCTATCAGTGAAGATGAAGAACTACAAATGATTCATACCAAACTATAATGCAGAAGTCTAATTTGCATGAATCCCAGAATAGCTATATAGGAAAATTACTTATTATTTTAGTCTTTATTTTAATGAAAATGCATATGTGACTTTATTTGATATAAGTCATTTAGTGTCTATTTATGGGAAAAGTGCTAATTCTAAAAGATTGTCATTTTACAGTTCCCTGAAAGAGACTTGAAAGCCACAAAGAGTAATATCTTCCTGCCATGTGGGAATTTTCAAAGAAAATTAAATGTGGCTTTGAATTGCCAAATTGAACTTTAAAAAAAAAATGACTATTATGGTATGTAAAGTGCCCTTTTCTGATAGTATTTTATAATTCTGTACAATATGACTTGATGCTCTAGAGAAATATTAAGAGCTACATTTCATACACATTTAGTTTCTTTCTTTTTTAATGCCTGTTTGCCCACTGTTCACAAAAGAATCTAGTGACCTACCTAGAGGGGAGAAGGAAAAACGCAATGGTTCTGAGCAGAGAGACCAAATGCTTATTCTGTAGGGACAGAAGCAGGGCAGTTTATGGAAAGCAACGCAGCCTAATTGCCTGAGGGAATCATGTAAGAGTTCCACTACTTTTTAAATATGGTGTTTATCACTATTCCAGGCAGTACTCAGAAGCCTGCTCATTGTCCCCAAAGATCTATGAATTATTGTCAAGTATCCTAATGAGGCAATGAAGATAGGCAGCCCTTCAATTTGGGATGACTCAGGGAGCATTGGTAGAATTTTTCCCTACACAACAAAGCAGGTCTTTTTGTGAATGAAGAAAAAGTTGGCATGTGCTAAAGGCATTGTACAATATTAACCTTCATTATATTATCTGTTTGTTAGTTTAAGCCTCAATATTTAATTGGAAAAAGTCAAGAATAAATGAAACCATGAATATAAATACATTCACAATGAAACTTTTCTATGAGCTCAAAAAGCGATGGGAAAAGTGATTGCTGTGTGAACGGGAGGCTCTGAGCGCAATGAATAAATGTGTATTCCTGAGCATCTTGGTACAGCCCCCTTCCTCCCTGGCAGAGATCTATGGGAAGGCTAGTAAATAAGGGCATGCATCTATTTCTTCTTTTTCTTTCCCAGGTCCCCAGACCTTGCCTATCCTTGCCTCACTTCCTAAAGACCAAAGTGTATGCTTAGGCCATAGGATGAATGCAGTGCCTCTTTGCACACAGCATGGCCTGTGCTCTGTGTGCTTCCATACAAGTGAGTGAGTAGGAATTCATTCCCAACCACTGGCTGCCTGTTTCTCCAACTGATAAGGGGAGCCTTGCTTAACTTGGAAGAGGGCCAGAGCGGACCTGTTGGCACCTCTCACTTCCCTTTTAACTTCCCCCTTTGGATGAGCCTGCTGTTGGACTGTCCATATTCCTCTGAACCCTACTAGGTTTCCTCTCCTCTAAATCGCCCCCAAGTTATTATGGTCCTCACTATTCTCCACAGTCCAATTTAAATCCATATTAACCTAATGAATTTCAGTTATTGGGTTAATGACCTAGGAGATGCCTTTTGATTATCTCCCATATTACTTAGCTATGCTTGCTCCAGGTTGGAAACTAGGACCTGGAAGACATCCTGGCTAAAATTCTACCCTGGCCATGACACTCCTTCACCTAGGATGAACTGAGCCAGTTCCTGTTTCAGGTGTCAGGGTGGAAGCTATAAGGGAGAGAAAAACCAAGCTACTTTTAAAAGAAATTTAGCAGGTGAAGAAGAGCAAGAAGGGAGAATTTGTGGCTCCTAGAGGCCAACAGAACCCACATGTGCGTCCTATCTTCCTCCCAATGACCATATCTCTATCTTAAATAGGTAAGAAAAGAAATCAGATGGGGCTGGGATTGTGGCATGTGCGAGGCCCTGGGTTTGATCCTCAGCACCACATAAAAATAAATCAACAAAATGAAGGTATTGTGTCCAATTACTTCTAAAAAATAAATATTAAAAAAGAAGAAGAAATCAAACACTTGCTGAGCTATCCAGCTCCAGCTGCATCTCCAATCCCTCTTCACAGCCAGACTATTCAGAGAGTCAGGTAGACCAGCTGTTCTAACCTCATTATTTCCCTTCATTCTTTAGTCCACTCCATTCTAGCTTCTAAAACCACCATTGTGAAGATTCCCAAGGATCTTTATGTTTCCAAATCCAAAAAACAGTCTCTATCCTCA